CTGAAATCTCTCAATTGCATTGTGAAGTGACAAAGATAATGTGCAGAGGACAGCCAGCCGTGGATGACATCGCTATCACTTTGTACACTCAAATCACTGATAGAACAGTGCAGTATCAGAAAGGAAATCAGCTATTCGCTCTTCGCCTACGTGGTATGATGTTCAGTATGGCTCACAAAGATACTGGCGGTGGCTGAGACAAGTTCACATGAACTACGCTGCCGTTAGTGCCTCATAGTGAAGTTGGCGCACAGTATGCACTGGTGGTATAAGGCAAAATGGACTTTATGGCAGTGGTTAGCTTCACAAGTTCAAAATAGTGCCTGTTCTTATCTGTCCTTGCTTGCGATTTTTGTTAATGGCTTTTGTTCTACTAGCTCCAAACATCATTTTCATTCTTGTAATGCAGACAGCCAGCAGTCATATGTGACAGTGTTGCGTGTGTGTAATCCTCTGGTGGTGCTATGATAACTAACTTAAATGATAAGTTCATGTCATTTAGATTCCAGCATTGCATTGGATCATAGTGTTATTTTTTGTAATTCATCCAGTATTTGGTTTATTGCATCATTTCTGACACCAATACCTTTTCAGCAATGTAGGATATTTACACCAAGGACAAACTTGGCCTGGCATTCAGATTGCATAATGATATGCTTTGAGGCCTTCATAGATAATAGCTGTAGTGTTCGTCTGTTTGGAAGGATTCGTATCCTGTGTTCACCTCAGCATTTGCCCAATGAAATGCCAAGGATCTCATTGAAAGACTAGTCTGCTATGTTCCGGTCTGAATTGCCAACTAGCTGAGCTACAGGAAATCTTAGGTTGCAGTGATCCAATTTGAGGCAATATTAAAGAGAACCTGTGGGCACAAAAGTAAGAACATGCAACATGGTTGCTGCTTTTCTTAGCACATGAAGACAAACTTGTGAGCAAGTAGGGAAGAATGTGATTCATGTGGTTTTGTGGCAAATATAACTGAAGGATGCTGTAATCAGTTGTATGTAAGCCTTGTTCGTGACTTGCAATGTCATCATAAGTGAAGTACATACATAATGAATAGTAATGTTTTTACCCAGTATCTGAAAGCAAGCCATGTCATGGTGTATTAGTCAAGCTTATGCATTTTTCTGCAGAAATTTCTTTGACAACTTAGCTTTATGTTTGGAAGACACTTAGGCACTTATAAACTTGAATCTAAAATAACGTTAGTGACAATGAAGGTGTGCTTGTCTGCATGGCCTCTCTTGAGAATAACATCAATGTTCTTGTAAACGATGTGCAAAGCTGATTGTAATCATGAAATTGTTGTGGCAAAGAGATGGCTTTGACACCTAGTTTGTTGTGGCATGTTTTATGAGCATAAATACAGACATGCTGATCTGATGATATAATGGCCACTTTCAATGCATTAGAAATATATGTCAAAAATATTATCTCAGGATTTACACCCGAAAACTAAAATGTGATTATAATAGACACCGTAGTGGAGGGCTCTGGAAACTTCAACCATCTGGTGTTCTTGAACATGCTCTGACATCGCACTGTACACCGGTTTCTAGCATTTCACCTCCATTGATATACCCTACATCGCTGCGGCTGGGATCGAACCCGCGACCTTTTGGTCCTAACCACTACACCACCACATCAGGCTTGAAAAATTTGTGATGAGTAGATTCAGCTCAAGTTCTTTTAATGTATCGTAGGCAAAAAAAAAAGTTGGGTAAATCTCAATTAACTTATCTCAAATGCTTTTGTTTCGAATAGGATGTTTTCAGGGAAATCAATGCTGAGTCACATATCAGAACTGTGGGGCTAATCAATAAAAAACCTAGCACCTCCTTCAACAGGCTTGTGAAGGGACTCGTTTATATGACTTGTAAGTGGGACTTGTTGCCTTTATGAACAAACCAACTTGGAAACATTGTACAAAGCTTCAAGTGTGGTGGTGGAGCAGCTTCCTTGATAATATTTTTTCAAATGTCATAGCTCGAGATTGTATGCATGCAGTTTGGTTAGTGCACTTTCTCGTTACTTGTGGCACCATTCACTGCATATAATATTAGGTGGATTTATCACATGTTTGCTTCTGCACCAAAGCTCAAATGTGTGTTTTCATTGCCTGGTTGCCATTCATTGCTGTTCCTTTGAAATTCATTTTTGCAATGTGTTACCACCTATAATATATAATATAGACACCAGCCTTGTGGAAGCAATAATTACTGTTTAAAGCAAATGCATTTATGCTAGAATTTCTATGCTACCTGTAACAATGTTTTCTTGCGTACAACCCGAACAATATTTACCGAAATTGAGAGCTTATGCTAGGGTGTGGGTTCCACACAAACTTCTGTGTGCTAGTTGACTTCACAGATAATGCTAGAAGGGTGGCTCTGTGGAAATACACGAGATATGTTAAAAATTTGTATTTTAGATGGCTTGTAGTTGGGATTGCAGATTAAGCGCAGGGCAGTTTATTGGAGTAAGAAATACAAGTGCACACCTTGTAGGTTGCATTAATGCATTGAGAAGCAGTCTGAAAAGTGTAGCTTTCTTCTGATGATTGAAATCTAGTACTCCAAGTGTATTTGAATGGTTCCCTCAGAGCGTAAGACTCTGGCTCGGTGCACGTCCCCGGATATGATGTCAGAGTGAGAGATTTGGCCAAAGAAGGCTCACTGTGACATCAGCCGCCGCACCTTCATATCGGTGAGCCACCGCTGGCCTCAGTGCGTGTGCTGCGTCAAAGCGCAGCTCTGTAGGTTTGTTGCAGTAGTGTGGGTCTTTCCTAGTATTTTTTTTTTTTTTTCATTTGGTTCTGTAAATTGTCTTGTGACCTGGGAGAGTACCTTTTGGATTCCTGCAAGTCCATCTTGTCACGAATATTGCTACTTTCAATGTTTGCTCTTCAGAGGCATCGATTCTACTGTTTTTTTTTTTGTTGCTTTGATGAAGAAAAGCCTGGCACACATTTTGTAGTCTTTGTTTTATTAACGAGTTCTGTATTTGTGTCTGAACTGCAAAGCTTACCACATGAAAAGAATGAGCCCGTATGGACATTTACATAAAAAAGAAAAAGAACAATAAAGCATCAACTGTATTTTTGCACACACTTGAAAAATGGGGACACACAAACCACTGCGTTCATGTTTTTCAAGTGCGTCTTAAAATACTGTATGCTATTCAAACTAGCCCAAGAAACCGCATGTTTGTTTCATGTCACTGTAATTTTCATATTGAACGGTTATGGCTTCTTACACTGATTCAAGCTAGATAGACATATGTCGTTAGTGCCATGTATTAAAAGCAGCTGCTGCTGTGCATGCTTATAAGATGGAACATTGAAGGGTTGCTAATGATCTCTCTCTAATTAGAAAACTCTTTCAAAATGCCATAAGCACTGTTATTGTATAGACTCTAAAGAATATGATCGGTAAGTCAGAATACACGCAAACAAGTTAAAGTGCCACAATTTCATTGCGATGCGTAGATTTTAATAGCACGCTGTTTGATCAACATAAATATCTCTAAAAAATAAATTAGGATTTGTTTAACTTGAGCTTCAGACTTTATATCACAAGTTTCATGAGATTTTTTTCAAGACAATGTGGTTGAAACACTCAAAATGCCCTAAAGTGGCAATGGTTCTGGTGTTCGATCTACCAATCATGATACCCCGACATTTAGGTGTTGGGTTTTAGTGCAAAATAAAATAATGCAACATATTCCTATTTACAGTTCAAAGAAAAAAACTATTGTTAAAATAATGAGAGTAGAATTGCCAAACAAAAATTTCAGTTTATAAGAATTTTGAATTTTACTTTAGTGTCTTTTCAGGTCACCTTATTATGTAAAAAAACATTGAGCTAGAAAGCTGATCAGTTTCAAGTACTATGAAACATGCAAATGATCTCACTAAAGAAATGCTAAACTGGTTTTTACACAATTCATCACATTTAGAAGAAAAACCTAGGTTCTCCCAATTGCTAGAAGCCGAACATTTTATGTAAAGCCTCATGCTGTTCTCTGACATAAATTGCCGAATTCGAGGGCCTGATAAAATAAAAAATGGAGCGTCATGTTTGCAAACTTCATAGTTTTTTATCAGAAGCAAGTTTCAGTTTTATGGATAAATTACTTTAAGGCTTTCTATAACTGCATCAGTTTTGTCAAATTTATACCTCCTAAAGATTGATTCTGTCTTTTGGAACTTTCTGATCGTTTCGCCCAAGTTCATGCTTTCGGTGTCGTGTATCGATCATAACCCTTTCAACTGCAGCGGCTGCACTTTTTAGTTATTCAAGCTTTTTTTTTATCTGAGCAAAAGTATGTGATGCTTCATTTTCTTAAACTTCTTTTGTGAATCCCAATAGTAAAAAAAAAAAAAAACAGTGGCCATAGTTGAGGACCACATTGAACATCAACATTGTTTTATTCCGACATAATTATATTGAATTTCATAAAGCTAAAGCTCATGCGTAAGATTTGTCGGTCTGCTTGTGGGTTTCACACTTATATATTCATGTTTTATATTAGGGTTTCAACTCTGGGCTGTTATTAAAAAATATGACTTCGAAATGAACTAGAGGCCAATTGACCAACTCATGCTTTTTTTTACTTAGGCCAGTGTTGAAATTATAAGCTTGATTTTCAGATACGTGTTGTGGAATCATTCACCAAGGAAGAAGAGACACCAAAAGATACATTTTGATTAAAAGGCATTAAGATAACTATTGTTACTATAGCATTTTTAAAAAATACAGGTAAAATTGCAATACTAATATATATATAGCTAAGTATGACATGAAGCATATCATTATCATATGGTACAACTTCAGAGTCGTGCATCACACTAAAGTGAATATCATAATGTGCATACACTGGTAATCACGCATGTGCAGGCCACAGAAAACAAACAAAAATTTACATTGTAGTAGTAGAGAAAACAAATTGAATTACAAGCTTTCCTACATGAATGATTTTTTGTTTGTTTGTTTCAGGGTGGAATTGCGAGGAACACCGTGAAGGCAATTACAGCTGTCAAAAACGTCAACTTGTCACGGCACATCAAGGAAATCAAGCTTCCAGATTTTTCTACCCTTGGTCATGTAAAGCTCTAAGGATCGCCAATGTCTATGCATCAGACATTGGTGACATTGACTATGCCAATTTTTTTTCTAGATGTTATTTTGGTTTTCAAAATGGCTTGCTTGTTACTAATATCATTTAAGAAGCTAGAGTACATGGTGTATTCATTACTCAGGACTGTTGATAATGAAACTTGCTACAGTGCTCAGGTGCATAAGTGAGATTTTGTGAGATTTTTTTTTGGTCCAGTTAACCACCTAAAGTTCAAACAGAACTTTATACTCATGATTCTTCGTTCCTGCTCTATTGAATGATCAAACTTGGTGATTGTGAACATTACAAGAAATATTGATCACAAGTACTTAACGAGGACTACTGACTTTCACAAAGACACCACTCAAACAGTCACCACAGCTGTGCTTTTATTGTAAGAACAAGCTGCCAACATTGGCAATGATTCACACATGTATGTTTGTTCCCATAAAGTTTTTCTTATTGTTACACTGAAAGATGTGAGACATAAAGTACTTAATAGGGTGGCCAAGGTGGGTTGGAAAGAGTTCAGCCTTACTCAAGACACCAGAAATAGATAGTAGCTGGCTATGCCCCTTAACATATAGGTGCCGCAGGCAGTGTCCTCAGCAAATAATACCGCAGGTGAGCACATGTGAAATTCTGGAGGTAATGCTGCACACAAACACTCTGTATTGTTTCCTCTGCTATGATAACATATGCACAATGCCTGCTGAATGTGCATCGCAGACATTTGAAAGGGACCATGTACCATGTCTGTCTTAAGCAGAGGGCTATTTTTTATCTAGTGTAATTTGATTTTGGTGGAAAAAAGAGAGCTTATTCAAATGATCAACAGGAGAACATGCCAAACTAAGCGCTCCTTTCAACCATTTTTTGTAATCATACACTTTTTACTTAGGAAGTGCAATGTTAAAAGTGTGCAATAGTATCGCTGTGTAATGTCCACATTGTGAGAAGCTGCAGTTTTTGCAGCTCTGTACTATAGCTTGCAAAGTTATATGCATCGTTGGTGTTTCTCAAGGTGGCCCTGCAGCACGTCTTGAACAAGGTCAGAAAATGCTGATGATCAGCAGTTGGGACTCCTCTGAAGGAATGAGCCAAAGATTATGGTAGTAAACTTGCAATAACTTTAAACATTAGCTAGAAATTGCTCACTCACTTCTTGACAGACACAGCCATTGGATTATTTGAGCACTGTGAGCTGCATGGCCATGCAGCCACCACAGAATGATGCAATGGGCCCAAGCTATGCTCCCAGCGCTAGAATTACACGCAATGCTGAATTACACCATTGCGCTAGCTCAAATCACGCTGAGAGTGAGCTGTGCGTTCAGAAATACAAAAGAAAGAGCTCAAGTTTATGATGCAGGCTGACGTGTGGACATGGCCTCTTGCCTTGCAGCTTTCAAGGCATGCGATAAGTTTCTGTAACTCTGCTCCTACTCTATGACTTCTAAAAGCATTTTTGGCTGTTGATTCATGGGTCAATATGCCCTGATAGTAAGCTTATTGAATGATAACTTAGAAAAGTGCTCTTAGGTCCTTTAATGTTATGTGTAAACAATGTAGAAAGTATACTTAATGAATTGTTTTTTCTTATGTCACCACTGTGCCAGAAGATTCTGGAGTCAGTCATATAGTTTTAAGCCTACATACTGGCCTTAGCTCTAGTGCTGTCCATTACCGAGGTTTTGCTTGATATACAAGGTTCACATTATTGCAGATTATGGCAAGAGCAATAGGGAGTGAAGGACTTTACTTCAAGGTGATATTGAGATGTTTCTAGCTTTCATTGTACCTTTTTTCTGTGTTTTTAGTGATAATGTCATTTGATTTTGCAAGTGTTTGTTTTCTTCAGTGAATTCTGCAGGCATATGGCGTCCTTTCTCAAGAAGTTCTTTGTAGAGTGCCGCATACTCGTGATTGAGCTGGTTGGGGGATTTCGGTGTGTGAACAAGTGCCAGCTTTAGCTGAATGAGTGGTGCAGGTGGAGAAATTCAACACTATTTAATTGTCACTGCCTGCGAAACGGCACGTAGAAAGTACTAACACTACTCTTATCCTTTTAGGGAAAGTGTCACCTACTTAATGCCAATTGGTTTCAAGGCAGTGAGCTTACTTTGAAAACTAACGGCAGCAGGATCAGCTCAGAATAGCATGCTTTTGATAAAGTTGCAGCTAGATTACTTTAGGCAAGTTGTTGTCATATTTCTGCTGCCATTATATTTTTTCGACAGCATGGTCTGCTGTTTCTTAGACCAACTGCGTAATGCAGCTCAAAATGCAGCATACATTTCACACAAAATGTCGTTGACATTTTTTTTTTGTCAAGTGTCCATTTATCTTGCCATATGAGCCACTTGTGGTGGTGACGTTTAACTATCAAGTCAGAAATTCGGGAGGAGGCAGGGAGGGGGGAAGGGTTAACGCTACTAAGTTAATATATGTTCATGTATATGTGTGCGTGTATACATATATACTCGTGCAAAACTAAAAACTTTGGAGGGGTCGGGGTTTGAACCCTCCCTACCTCCCCCCCCCCCCCTAGGCTACACCACTGAAGTTACGATTACAGTGGAGTATACTAATAGTGATTAGCAGGGCACACTTTGGTGCGTACTGCTGTGCCGTGTCATGCAATATTAGTTGGTGCAAAGTTGTTGTAGTTTTTTGCCATTACTTCTTATCAACATGCTGCATGATGCTTTTGTAGGGAGTAGGAGAGGTGTAGGAGAGGTTTTTAGTGAATGGCCTTTTTTTAATTGCCAGCTGTTATTGTTAGGTGATACCCTGTTTCTTCGAACAAATTCAGTGATGTCTCATCCAGTTTTGTGAAGAAGTCTGATTAGTAAAACTTCTAAATTTAATTAGAGATATAAGGAAAACCAGGTAACATTAGATAAATAATTGATTCCTATAAACTTATTTCTAAAGTGATATGCAATAGGCTGTGGGTAACTATTTTAGTAAAACAAGGGTAAGGTCGGTTTACATTCATTGGTTCACAGAATGTTGCTTAAAACCAGACTTGCAGTGAAAATCAACTCTGTGGTAATGATGTTTGTTCTGAGAGTAATGAAACACATTCGTATAGAGTGCTTTTTTTTTTTTGCTGCAGGATCAGAGCACAACTTCGCAGTTCTGAAAATGTTGTAGAATGTAAGCATGTGAAGATATTATGAACACTTAAGTGCTTTATAATAGTGTAGAGAAGACAGATTCGTGAAATGCCTTGCATTCAGGTGTTTTTAATCAATGACGGGGTGTTATTGCATGGAGTGCTTTACTTGGTGCATTTTCTCAGTGACTGTTGCCTCCGTGAAATACTGCAATTTAACCTCTTCCCTACTGAGCTTTTGTCCAGAAATTATACATTGCAAGTGCATGCTTTGACAAAGTGGCTGACTGGGCTAGTTGGTTTAGCATACTTGAGGTGTATTTTTTTGCACTGTAACCTAAAGCATGCTTTTGAGCCTGTTTTTATTTCTTTACTGTACCATCTGTTCAAGCAAAAAAGAACTCAACAATGTGCATTAGAGTAGCTATATTGCTTGAACGAGCCCAGCTCATCCTCAATGCGGAAAGGGTGAGATGACTAAACAATACTGGTAGCGTGCGTACGTTCTGAGCTGATATCCTTCACAATAATTTTAGTTTTGAATAGTATTTGTAAAATTTCAAAAGCGTATTGTCGATTAGAATATGAATGAAATGGCAGTTACTGTTCTATTCCTATCTGATAATTGAAATGCTCACGCACCTCGAAAAGTTATTTGTTTTAGCCTTTTGTATAGTGTTGTCACAAGTGTACAAGTAGGTGACTCTGTTAGAACAGCTGACGACATGCTAACAAATTATTGAAAGCACCATCGACGCCACCTTCTGGTAAACATGTGCACAATCATGAATGTCAAAAAAATGCCGTGAAGACCCAGTGCATGTTCGTCTTATCGAAAACGTGGCTTTTGTTTCTTGTAGCGTGGTTTGAGGCAGTCATGTTTCAAGGTAATGCAGTTATGTGATCATTGCATTGCCGAGAGTGCGTAGCGCGTGCATTCGATGACCCAGAATTCGCAAAAAGGTGCTCAACTCCTTTTAGTACTTATGGTAATATTGTTTCAAATATTTTTATTAAAGCAGGCTGGCAACTGGCTTCCAGATGATATGGAATCGGTAGGAAATGCGTATGAAGCAAAGAAGAGCGTAAAGAGAAAAACGTAACACAAAAAGAATGACTGGGAAGGATAGCTAAATACTAAAGGCACCCAGAAAGCACAGATAAAGCTAGTAATTTTAAAGAACTTTAAAAATTTTGCCAGACACAGGTGCAAAAAAAAAAGAAATTGGCAAAATAGTGATACAAGCTCATAAAAATAGAGGCAATTGTCTCACCTGCATAGAAAAACAGACTAACTGAATCAGTCTTATTGTCCTATAGTATACCTTGTTTTAAACTTGTAATTGAAGCCTGTGTACATTAGGAAAACTAAAAAGAGCTTTCTGTGCTGGAGGACAGTGGTAGAGACACACCTCCTAAATGGACACAAGTTCACGGCAAGTTGCAAGCTTTGGGCTTTTGGTATGTACACCTATGCACTCGCTGATAGTGCCTGTGGTTATCAACAGACAGTGCACATAATGCGAAGTATACTGCTTTGGGCAATACCACTTTGCACTGTTCCCACATTCATGGCTAATGTGTGCTGTTGTCATTCCATTTAGTTATGCTATGTGCCGTTCTTTGTAGTGTCAACATTTACAAACCAAGCTAGTTGGCGCCTGACTAAGATACATCATACATTTTCGAAAATTGTTTGTCCACTAGACTGTAAGCTTCCTACGCTATAACGCTTGTCATTTTTGCACATCCTCTTTCTCGTATAGATAAAAAAGGTGCTCATAGCAGGAAAATTCCTGGTGGCTAGCTTTGAATGAGAACTGTGTACAGTTGGAGCTAAATATTATGAATGCAGATATATCAATTATTATTGAATATAACCTATTATTAGCACTCGTATAATCAATTATAATTCTTCATCAAGTAAATAATTAAATTAAAAAAAGTGCATGTAGAAAACAACCAGCATGTCATTTTAAGAAGACTGAACTACTGTAGAATCATGCGGGTACTTGTGTTCGTACAGGTGTAACCTTCATGTTCGTAACAGAAAGTTAATATCAGTCAGTTCACTGAATAAGCAAACCAGAGTGCACATAAAATACATTGGTTATGCAGTGGCTCATGAGCAAGTAGTGCAATGAAAATTTAAGCGTGAGAAAAGATGTATTTATATCAAACTTGCACACCACTTAATTACCGTTTATGTGCAACTGTGATATGTCAGGCTTGTTTCACCCCTGTATTCTTACACAAGCTTCAATCAGTGCATCCCTCACTCAGTCAAGCTGAGCCCAGTGCGAGCATTTGTCTGAATATTATGGCACGCATTTTTAGGATTGCTGGGCTGCATTGATAAAGTTGAGTGACCACTTTTGTCAAAGTCAGGCATTGCCGTGAACTTTATAGAGTGTATGAATGAGTGTAGAAATGCGGAGCACTGGGTGTTTTGAATGTGGGGCTGTTCCTGTGCCAAAGAGCATGCTAAGTCACCTAATATTTCTTGGTTGCTGTCCCTGAACACCTTTGTACCTGACACTGACAACTTTACCAATTTTCGAAGTACTTTTTGAATCCTTTACTGTGCACAATAACGTTAAGGAGAGAGGGTTACTTGTGAGTAAATACGTGTTTTCTGAAGTGCGGTGTATTTACACATTTTGATATTCAATAAAATTTTTTCTAACAGAATGTTATTCTTGCCGTTCAATACGTATAGCTGACATGCATGCTGCCCAATGAGCTGGTGTCTACTTGCAATGTGCTGTCATTTGCATATGCAAAAAATGCAGTCCAGTCTCCAACCAACCATTTGAGAGTGCCAGATACTCTACAAGGCAGTCATCATAATAAAATAAAATGGTAATCAATCCTTAACTCTGTCGCTAAATGCCTGATTCTATAAGGGTCTAACAGAAAACTTGTCCTATGGCAGAATGCTAGGTTGCCACAGAGCGGGCTCAGGTTTGAACTCCAGTTCATCTTGATCATTTTTCACTATTTCGTTTTTTTTATTCCGGGGGTAGCGGTTTTGGACACCAGTGGCATCAACGAAAAACTACGACACCAAAAAAAGAACACCAGGCCTGCGTGGAACGTGCAGCACTGTCATGGCGAAAGCAATTATATGGACACTCAGCTAGATTTTTCCGCCGGCGTCGCCGTTACTCACTGTATATGTATAGATATTTATGTATATGTAAACACAAGAAAGAAAAATAATGAAGAAAAAGACTCCTGCACCGGAACCGAACGTAAGAACTCCGAGCCCTGGATGTGACGTGTTAACTACGGAGCCCGCGAGGAGCACCTCATTAAGCGTTCAAACAGCAAGCTATTCATATCTACCAGTTGCCACTGTTGACGGGCATCTCGGAGGGGGGAGGGTGACTATCGTGTTCGCAGCATTACCAGCAAGATGGCGCAATCAGCGTGCGTTGCCACATCGTCACGACGGGGAGGGGCGCGCTCTCATCTCCCACGCGTACTTTGCCCTGCGCAGAGAAGGAGGGTGTACTCTCCGAGCACCCCTAAGTGCCAATCACTGGCACGCGTATGCTCGAGCCTACGCTTCAAAAGTGTCAAATGCGCCTCTCGGCGTTGTCTTCGGAGGGGCATATTGTTGCGAAGGACGGACCGATCCCGCCGAAGCCACCACTGTTGCGAAAGACGGGGACGCCGACACGGCCCCGAAGGCGCCACTGCTTTCAACTCCGCCGGGAAGGTCACCAGCCGTTTGGTAGCGTATGTTTCTCAGCCCGCGACTGCTTCTGCGCAGAGCTGATAAGACGAGCGGACGAGACGACGGTGAGTTAAACAAGGTTTATGTACAGCATATATACAGAGGCGTTACAATTTCGGCACTGGGGCCGACAGAGACTCGAAGAGCCGAGCTCTCCTCTCTAATACATAGGTCAACTTTTCGCCTAAGACCGCTGACTCACACACATGTCGGCTCTCCGACATAGGGACTCCTCTCTCGTAGGACTGCCGATCGCGACGCGCCGCAGGGCTTCTTTTATTTACACCGGGTCCAACCAAAATGTCCAATCAGAAGCGCCGCTGGTCGTCCGGGCAGATTCCTCCAATGGGGTCGCCGCGCCATGCGTCAGACCACCAGACACGAGGACGCCGGCTCGCTGTCACGTGCGCAGCTGACTCAATGCACGTGGGCCAGAGGGGCGCCGCGCGTGTTCACGCCGTCGAGTTGATCGCGCCAGGCGGACTGCGGGCTGGCCTTGACCCAGATTGCCTTTTTCAGAGGCACGGACGTTTGACGAGGACTCGCTGGCATAACAGCACCCCCGCCGCCAGACAATGCACCGGAAAGACGAGCTGCTTCCACGGGGCTCGGATGTCAGGTGCGCTCGTTCGCCAGGTCCCTCCAGGTTCGCCTCCAGGGCCATGCAGGTTCGCCTCCAGGGTCATGGGGAGAATACAGCTCCAGACTGTTCCGGGAACACGTCCCATTTTTGACGACGGATCCCAGCTCCACTGGCTTGTCGCCACAACTTGTCGACCAGCTTCACTCGTCTCTTCTGACCATCTTCGGTTTCAGCACTTGTAGATGGTTCTGCAACTTGCTAAGAACGGTTCGACAACAGACAACACACGACACACGCAAGTGCTTTCGGTCACCCGACAGAATACCAGACAAAGTATAGTACAACATATATAATTATCTACGTGTCTATCGGAATTTTGTTCCCTCTACATCAAGAGGCACATGCGGGACACAAGACTCTTAAAATGACAACTCAATTTTTTTTCCACGTACAACAACGTAACGAATTAGAATACCACAAAGTTGGCCCCTTGAGATCACTCTGAACGAGAGCGCTCAGCCCAGGTCGTGATGAGGTCAAAATTTTGCCCCGAATCGCCAGCGAGAAACCGAAAGGTTGAGAAGTTACTAACTGGAACGCACTGCTCAATGCACCTGCATTAGCGTTTACCTTTCCTTTATTATTTTTTTTTTGTTTTGATAGCGAACGTCAAAGTTGCGCTGTGGAGCAACATGCTCCACTTCAGTAACCGGCCACTTTTAGGCGACGATACCTATGCGGCACCAAGAGCGGCTCACACTTGCGACGTGGCACAGGGGAACAACGATACGGCTTGCCACGGATTGACTCCTCGCCGCTTAGCTCGATATCGTGTTCGATCACCCTCGTGTTTCCGGGGCGGTTCGAAAACACGTGTTCAAACTCGGAACCAATCTTTCTCAGGTCCTCTTTCTCAGGTCCTCCTTCACTTAAGCTAGGCTCTAGGTTTATCTGCTCCCAGATTACTTTCGATCCCCCTTCGATTACCTCACTAGTACTCAAAACTTCCGCTGTTCTTCATCTGAAGCACTTAAAAGTAAATTTACGACTGCTTTCAAGTTGTAAATTTTGTCCGGCCGCCTTCCTAATTTCACTTCATAATTTGTATCGCAAGGCTTCGATAATACTTTGGCGGGCCCTTCCCAATCAACATCAAGCTTGTTCCTTTTGAACGGCTGCAGCAGCATTACCTGACTCCCTACTTCAAAAGCACGCTTCTTCACCGATTCCCCGTAGTGCTCCTTCGACAGCACTTTTGCCGCGTTTTTCTGGCTTTCCACTAGCGCTTCAATTTGGCTTTCCCCTAGCGCTTCAATTTGGCTTTCCACTAGCGCTTCAATTTGGCTTTCCACTAGCGCTTCAATTTGGCTTTCCACTAGCGCTTCAATCGAGAGATCCTCACGCTGCTCTCGAATGAGCGTCTCTCGATCAACTCTCGGCAGCTCGCTCCAACTTTCCGCTACAGGCGAGAGCGTTGCAACCCCCTCGCTCTGACTCAATGGCGCCATGTCGTCTCCCCTCTCTACGGAAACCGCGCCGGTGGGTTCGGCGACGGGCCGCTCGCGTGACTGCTCACATGACTCATGCGGAAACTTTCCTTTCTGGGGTTCCGTCGACCCGCCGACAAGGTCACTTGAGAGTTCACCGCATTGAACCAGATCAAGCTGCCGCGATAGCTTCCACGCTTGCGATCGCGTGAGAGCCATGCATGCTAAGTTGGGGAAGAACGATTTGCCCTGCTCTTTGAGAAGCTGCTCCGAGTTGTTGGAGAAAAGATAAGGAAAACGATCGTTTAGCGCGGCAGACACAGCCGCTTCGGTGCGAAGCTTACCGAACGGGCCTTCAATGACAACGGTGGCGATTGGTAAGCGAACACTCTGCTCCTCGGCGACTTGCCTGATCCACGCGCATTCTCCTGTAAAGTCATCCGGAGACACCAATGAAGGATGGACAACGTCCATGGTTGCCGCTGAGTCTCTAAGTGCTCGGCACGTTTTCTCATTGACCCTAATTTCTTGGAGATACGGCTCCAACAACCGAATGTTTTTTTCTGATTCTCGGATCGTTGCGAAGGCAAACTTTTCCTGACAGTTTCTCGCGATGTGCCCTTCCTTTTTACAGTTGTAGCAGATTAGCGGCTTCCGTTTGTTTTCCGATTCAAATGCCTGTGTGGTAGAAACCTCACTCGATTTCTCCGCTTCTGTTTGCCCTTCCCCTACACTGTCCTTCGTAAGAGACGGGTCCTTTTTGAAATTACGGTGCGGAACGGGTTTCCGTTGATCAGGTCTCCTTGAAAAGCCCTCTTTCCTTTCATCCTTTTCAACGCGCACTGCCCTGCTATGCAACTTTCGGCGAGCATAATACTCCTCGGCTAACTCAGCTGCCTTATTTAACTGTACTTCCCCAAGTCTGTCCTGCAGCCAAAGTTTGACATCCTCTTCGATGCAGCGGTAGAATTGCTCCAATGCAACGCATTCCACCACTTTATCGCGGTCGTCATAAACACCTTCGCCCTTGAGCCATTCAATCAAATCGGCTTTAAGACGAAACGCGAAGTCAACGTGTGACTCATTCCCCTTTTTAGCATACCGGAACCTTTGCCTGAAAGCCTCGGGTGACAACTTATAACGTCTCAAGAGCACTTCCTTAACCTCGTCATAGCTCTCAAACGATTCCCTCGACAAGCAAGTTATCGCGTCGGACACTTCGCCGGGAAGAAGAGCTAGCAGGTTCCGCGCCAAAAAAGACCGCTCCAAAGCGTTTCGCTCACAGACGTGTTCACACTTGACGAGATACTTCGCCATGTCCTCGCCTACTACGAATGGTGGCAGTTGGTCCCGAATTCTAAAACCGCTGACCTGAACTGTTGGAGAAGCTACGCTAGGCGCCTGCGAACACTGTAGGATTGCCAATTCTAGTCGTTTCAACTCTAGGCGCTCTTGTCTCTCGGCCTCCTCGCGCTCGCGACGTTCTACTTCTCGCCTTTCAGCCTCCTCACGGCGTGCTTTAATATCCACCCAGGCCTCATCGACTTCCTCAGCCGACACTCCCTCATCCTTCATGATCTCAAGGATCGCTTGCTTTCGTTTCGCGCGGCCCAAAGTAATGCCGAGTTCCTCACAAATTTCGATGAGTTTCTTCACTTTAAGGTTCTCCATCGTTCACACTAGCCTCTTGCTGTTTGCCCCTGTTAACAATTTACTTGCCGTACCCACTATAAGTCAACTAGCAAGACGCGCAAGCAATTTTTCACACTCCCGTGTTTACCCCCTCCGCATTAACTTTGGTTTCAAAGCGCTTCGACTTGGCTTGAAACGATCAAAGCTCACTCTAATGCTTCACACATCCCTTCTCTAAACTACCACA